AAAAAAAACATCACAAAAAAATACCTCACAGTGTATTTATGAGCATATTTGATTTATATGCCTACAGACTTTGTATTGTGCTATGTTGTTCATAGCTATTTGTACCAGCTTGCATGCTCCAGGTTGGACAGAAATGGAACCTTAAAAGTACAGAAGCCATATTTGCCCCAGACTGTAAAGAAATAGACTGTTGGCCTCATGTGGCCCATATTTGGCCCTTGTTGTAAATGCTGGCATCTGTGGGAAGTTGTTGTTGATTTTCCACATAGGAGAGCTTTGTGTTTACAAAGCTGTACTTATTTCCATTCATGTCAAATTTCATCTTCTATTTTTATTTAAAGTCAGTCAGAATTTCTTGGAGAAAGCGTTTACTCTCTCAGCATTTGGGTGTACCCTGGTCTCTTGAAGGAGAGACACAGTGCTGGGGAAGTCTACCGAACACCACCAGATTACTCACTGCTCATCTGTGTGCCTCCACTTCTAGGTGGATCCTGCCAAAGCCATCTCTCATCAAGGGTGCGGCTGTCTCGTCTTCTCTGAGCAGTGAAGAGATGTCTCATGAGCATGTTGTGCTAGAAGCAGCTGACAGTGGTCGGGGTAGTTGGACTTCCTGTTCCAGCAGCTCCCATGACAACTTCCAAAGCCTTCCAAACCCAAAAAGCTGGGACTTTCTGAACTCTTACAGATACACACATCTGGATGACCCTATTGCTGAAGTTGAGCCCACTGACTGTGAGCCCTGTACCTGCCCTAAAGGCTTCTCAAGAACTTGTGGCCAGTGCAAAAGCAGCCTAGAGGCGAGCCAGCTAAGGCAGAGTTGGGTCTCCTCCAGCTCACTCTCTGACACGTGCGAACCAAACTACGGGACAGTTAAGCGGAGGGTGTTGGAAAGTGCACCAGCAGAGGCATCTGATGGCTTGGAGCTTAGGGACACCACTGACCCTGTTTATAAAACTGTCACTTCCAGTACAGACAAGGGCTTGATTGGTAAGTGCAGGCTTGTTTATATCACCGATGTTGAGGGATTATGTGCTCCCTCCCCCTAAAAGCAGGTATTGAGCTATCTTTACCAGGTTTTATTATTTGTTCACTGTACACTTTCTTTCTTCCTTCCACAATTTATTGCCCCCAAATTCATGTCTTCTCAGGAGCTTTGTCTCTGTCATACATGTCCTTATATTTATATATAAAATGAGAAGGGAACTAACAGTGGCATTAACTGAAAACACTTTAGGTGTCAAATACACATGGAACACACAAACAGACAGGTAAAACCACAGTGATACCTTTTCAGAAGTTGCAGAGTAGATATTCAAGCCATTAAAATGAAAAGGAGCATGAGCAGAGGAAGGGATGGAATTGAGAATTATTTGTCAGACTAATTTTTCAGATCCTTGTGGTTGCCTTGAGCGTGGCAGCGTCACTGCAGACCGTGCAGTAGTAAAGATTGTTCTGGTGATCATAAGTAATTGGGAGCACAGTTTCTGTGTGTTCATGATAGAGACAGGAAGTCCTCTTACTTTTAGGCATATATGCCGAGATTCTGAACCAACTCAGCAATAATGTAGGTCTTAGCTTTACAAGGCCCTGCATTCACTGTCAGGCATAAGGCAGAGACGCCAAGCATTTCTGTGTACCTGGTCTGGTGCATATCACCAGGTGTCAGCTGGTTTGTGCATTGCTGTCTAGTAAGCTTTTGTAGTATATTTAATCTTCAAGTTGTTTATTCCTTGAATTACATGAATGCTTATACATAATATTCTCGTTCTCCTGTTATGTGAAGTGACTGACAAATGTGTTGACTGTGTAGTTCTTGGATTTGTTTAGTGCACTTGGCCAGGATTCTAGGAATATACAGTAGATATGAATATTAATTTTAAAATCTTTCACTTCTTGGTGACGTTGGGCAAATCTTCATTTTTCTCTCCTCTTGACAACTTTCCCACTGACATACTCAGTCATGCCCACCTGTCCTCAGTTGGAAACAGGGGCCTATCCTGACCCTGACATTACATTACTTGCAAGTTTTACTGGTAGAAGAGTAGAAACCCACATGAACAAATTTCTTGTTGATGTGACTTGTTTAAACTTTAATTTTTATCTACACTTTAGCCAGAAAACAGAAATAGATCCCAGTGAGACATAGTGGCGCGCGACTTTAATCCCAACCCGGGGCTGTGTAGAGATCCTGTCTCAAAACAAAATAAGAGCCCACATAGAATTAGTTCATCTAAACTAGAAAAGCTCATTGGTTTGCGTGCCTGAACTGAGAATGTGTCTGCCCCTAGCACCAGAGACTGGTCTCTGTGACCCACATGCCAACACTGTGATTCATAGTAGATATTTTTCAGCTAACAGAAGTGTGTCTATAACTGGTCACCTTCAGGCTTGAGGGTTTGATTAAGCTATTGGACATGAGAGCTGTGCCTAAGGAGGAGTGTCCTGTTCCTGTTCTCCTACTTATGTAGCTGTTTGTGGAGTTTTCTTAAAATATCCAATAGGTTTAAATATTAGTGTTTGTAAGATCACTTTTAGTTTGCTATCATTGCATTTGAATGTATTCATTTTGTCTGTTTTTAAGTTATATTTTTGCCATTGTAATATTCAGTATGGAGTTCTCTTTCCTTCATTTCTTAAGTTTTTCCATTAACATTTCCACTGCTTATTTTTTTTTTCATACCAGTGTACTGTGTCACCTCACCCAAGAAAGGTGATAGATATAGGGAGCCACCTCCCACTCCTCCAGGATATCTGGGAATTTCTTTAGCGGACCTAAAGGAAGGACCCCACCTGCATCTAAAACCTCCAGACTATAGCGTGGCAGTGCAGAGGTCAAAGATGATGTTTAACAGCCTGTCTAGACTGCCGTCAGCTCCTCCCAGTAGCCACACCTCAGCCTGGGTTCCCCCGAAGATCGGATCCCAGCCTCACAGGCATAGCTTGCAGCCGCCCCATCCCAAACTAGCAGATGTGGCTGATGCAGATAGCGAAGCAGATGGTACGTTAACAAACTGTCTCAAGAACTCTTAAGTGGATTGTGGAGCATAAAGAGTCTTTTCTGTGGTATCTGTGATGATTTGTAATGTTTTTTAATCTCTTTAAATTTGTTTTTTAAAAAGTGGGATCTGGTACAGCCGGGCATGGTGGCCCACACCTGTAATGCTCGCACTCTAGGAGACAGAGACAGGTGGATCCCTGTGAGTTCAAGGCCAGCCTGGTCTACAAAGTGAGTCTAGGACAGCCAAGGCTACACGGAAAAAACCTGTCTCAAAAAAAAAAAAAAAAAAAGTAGGATCTGGAAATATAGTTCAGTGGTAGAATGATTGGCACTCATGAAGCCCTGGCTCAGTCTCTCTAGCACTACAAAGAAAAATGTATTTATTATACTTTTGAGCCATCAAGAGCACTTGTGCAAGCCTGGCAGCCTGAGTTGTGTCCCTCAAGCACACATAAAGGAGAGAGCCAACACTTCAAAAAGTATTCCCTGGCCTGCACACAAACTCCACAAACACTGTAGTACACACACACAAGCTTCTGTCTGTGTGCCTACTGCTCTGATGCCAGCTCACATGGAGTATAGTTACCTTTGATAATGAAACAGTTTCAGTAGTAGAATTCTGAGAGAAGGTACTTGATGACTGTTGACAAAGTTTTACAAAAGACAGTTGTCTGAAAGACACTCTTGGCTTAGTTCCTCTGACTTTTAATGAACTTTGTAACTGTAGCAAAAGCTTGAAAACTAGTTTCTGTATTAAAAATAAATGCTTTATTCTTCTAAAGAATATAGTAATAAAGTGATACATTGAAACCATTTATGGTCTGGGAAGATGGCTCAGTAGATGAAGTGCTTGCCATACAAGTATGAAGACCAGAATTCAGAGCTCCAGAACCCATGTAAAAGCTGGGCGGTATAGTAGCTGTAATGCCAGTGCTAAGGAGGCGGATATGGGATCCCCAGGGATAGCTGACTATGTGGACTAGTCAAATCAGCAAGCTCCAGGTCCACTAAGAGAGCCTATATGGGTGGGTTTAGGGAGTAAGTAAAATACAGAGCGATCCATCCAGCAAGCCAATATATGTCAGCTTCTAGCCTCCATACAGATGAACACACACCCATGCATGCATATACGTACCCCTCCATACATACACACACACACCAAAGAAAATGAATAGAGACCAGCAAGATGGCTCTGCAGGTAAAGGCACTTCCTGCCAAGGCTGATGTCTCGAGTTTGATCCCCAGAATCTGCAAGGTGGAAGAAGAGAAGCAATTCTGCAAGTTGTCCTCTGACCATCACACATGTGCAGTTGCCTTTTGTACACGTGTATACACACACATAAGAAATAAGTGTAAATCAATTTCAGTTTTGAAATTCCAGTTTCCTATCAGCCCTCGGTGTGATTAGAAACCGTGGTGTTACAGCGAAGCCTGGGCCTTGGTGGGATGTCTGCCAAGATTTGTTGAGGTGGGAAGAGTTTCTTATGTAGCATACTCTGTTGAGTATTGCTTGATCTGCGTTGACGGATAGATGTGCTGGCTAATTATGTCTTTATTGTTTTCAGAAAATGAGCAGGTGTCAGCAGTCTAGCCTTTGGAAGGCCCGTTGGAGACCGCTGGAAGTCAGGAACACGGACAAGAGCTCCTGGGTCTGCAAGCCAAGGCCAACAGCTCGCTGCTGCCACTAACCCTGAGGTCTCCTGGATGGGCTCTGAGGATGAGCTCTTCCTGAGTCGTGCTTCCCCTTGTTCTGTCCCTGCAGGTGCACTTCCCTTAACTGGATGTTGTACCTGATCTCAGCCTACACTTTGCACATCATTCCTGCCTTGGGACCACATTCAAGCTCAGAGTTGTCCCCCTGTATATCACTATAGGTTTTTCTTTCCGCAAGTCGTTTTAAAGATAGTGGTATTATTATTTCTAAGCCATAGCTTAGGCTAATGGACACATTCAAAATGTCTGCCAATACCAAGGAGAGTCTTGCATCTTTGAAAAGTAATTTATTATTTGAAGTATTATGGTTTTGTTTGTATTGAAGAGCTCTCATTAGCTGTTGTTTGTCTGAATCTATAAAGCTGTCTGTGGTCTGAGCAGCAGACACCATCCTGACACAGGTACAGAAACGTAGCACCACTGTAGCGCTCAGGTGGGAACTAAACACTGGCGCAGTAAGTGTACGCAGCCTGCTCATCGTGATGTGGACTACAGCGGCCACAGAGGCCTCGGTCTCGGCAGGCTTCTGAAAAGGGGAGCAGAGAGGGAGTATAAAGGGAGAACCAGGATTTGCAAAGAAGGAAAAGTTAACATTGAACTTGTTGTGCTTGTTTCTGAAATGAGCATCATGCTGCATCCAGTTGTGAGGATACTACAGAGCCACTGGGAATGGCTTCTAGAGAATTGTGTCTCCATAGGAACCCTAAGCTAGCATTCCACAACTCAAGTGTGGAGTTCCTAGTGTAAAAATATATATATTGTAGAAGCTAGAGAGGTGGCTCAGTGCTTAAAATTCTCACATGCTGGCTTACAACTCCCTGTAACTTCAGTTCCAGGGGATCGGACACCCTCTTCTGGCTTCCACAAACACTGCATGCATGTAGCACTTAGGCATCCGTGCAGTCAGAACACCCCTACACTCCAAAAATAAATAATAAAAATAGTAATTTTTTGAAGTGTCGTGGATGCAGTGGTGAAGGTCGCCTTGACTTGTGCAGTGGCTTGCAGCACAGAACCACATGTGCAGTCACTGGACGTGAGCCTTGAGCTCTCCACAGAACTCCGTAACCGAGAGGTAGACTTGGATAAGAGAGAGGAGCTAGGATACCAGAGGGAACTTACACCCTTTGCGACCTCCTGGATATGGCACTCTTAAGTATTCAAATGCAGTGACTGCTTAATAAAGTAGACTTTTCACATTTTTACAAATCAAGCATAACATTTTGTATATATATATATTTAAAGTTTTTCTTTTGCTTTTTAATGTAAAGGCAATTAAGATTTCATAAACTTATGTAATTACCAAAAAAAAAAAAAAAAGCCAAAGCCATTAAAAGCGCACTGGCCATGACAGCACTGCTGCAGGCAGTCGTGGGCAGCTGCCTTTTCAAGGCTGCACTTTTCCGTCGCTCTCTCCTCCTGTTGCAGAGTCAAAACAGTTCCCACGCAGTAGTGCGCTGTCTTCCCACAGAGCCTGTCTCTTTACGAAAAGTAGTGGCTGAAGAATTCCCCTGGGGAGACATTAACCCAAAGCCTTAGACATGAGCCCAGGTGCACTGCAGTGCGGTGAGGCAGAGCCTTGCTGGCCCTTTAAGTGCAAAGCAGCCTGAGTGGCAGCTGCAGCTTGACAGCCATGTTTAACTGATCTGGCCTATGAACTGTGCTGTCTTCTGATTGTGAATTTTTTATTCACCTATTTGCATAATATTGTTTTCATGTTAAAAACAAGATAAATATTTTTGCTATATCCACCTTTTTAATCCAAGTTTGGGTACTCATTGTCACCATTTTCTATCCATTGCTCCAGAAAAATGTGCTGTTTGCACTGCCTCTGTTCATCTAACAGGTCTTCAGACCAGACGGAGTCTCGCCTGCCTTGGTCCTTAATGTGGTGACATGTCTTGCACAGGGAGTGAGGCCTGTGGCTTTGAGCCTGTTCTGTGTAGCTGCCTTGGTTATATCAAGCTTTATCTGTGAGTGTTCAGACCAGCTGATCACATTGATCAGAATGAAAACCAAATGCTTTGTAGTTTGATGTATATGAGTCCCTGAAAAAGGAAAAAAAAAAATCATGTCTGCCTTTTTTTACTTTATCATGTGACTAGAGCAAGGCAAGCCTTAAAGCCCATGCTTGCTCTGGTTCCAAGTTCTCATTTGTCCTTGTTGGAAGTTTGTGACATTACTAAAGAGACTGGTGCCCAGCGCCTGCCAAGACTGTCGAAGCAGCAGACCCTTAGTGCAGACTTTTGCCAAACAATAGATTTCAGCAAAATCTCATAGCAAACCATGTAGAGATTAGCCCAGCTGCTGCCTACAGCAAGCTTACATGCAAGCCCCATACTTCATTTCCTCTAAATGGTGTCTTTCAGGATAATCTTTGGGGAGAAAAATCCTCTAGAGAGTATTCATGAGGCTGACATGAACACCTCTGTGATCTCTACCAAGCTTGAAGAGTAGCAGTAACCACAAGGGTTTCCTTAAAATTACAAAAGAACAAGCATTTCCTTTAAATTTTTAAACTGATTATTTGGATTGAGAAGGTCTAGGAAGACATTAAGTGTACCCTTGCACCATCCCATTGCACACCACAAAAAAAGGCCGGGTCAGCCTTCAGACAAGTCAGGTACATATTTAAGTTGAAACTTGAGTTGCACTTCATCTTTAGCTTTTGTGCTGTTTAAAAGGCCTCTTTTTTTATTAATGTACAGAATGAATGCAGTTGAACCTGATGTTTTAAAATTGAAATGTGAGTTTATCAAAAAACAAAAGCAAAATTGCACAGTTGCTCTAATCAAGTGACAATTATCTGCACAACTGAGTGATTGTAAGACATACTGTCACAAGCAAGGCTGTCTCCCGGTGTTTGATGCCTCTTAAACTTATGTCTTTTAGAAAGACAGTGCCTCTGTATGCGTTTGTATTTTTACTGAGTGTAAATACTTGTTATATTTTTGGTTAAGAGAATGTAAGGGTATCATTTATTACCACATCTCCTAACACATTGGAACCAATAAAGAATCTGCATTGACTGTGTACACTTCCTTCCAAGTATATGGAGCCATGAACAGCTAACCAGGTCCCTTCAGTGCAGTGTTTAGGCTGCAGAGTGGCTCATTAGGAAATTGCTTGTCCTCCTAATGTGCATGAAGTCCTGGGTTTGATTCCTAGAACTGCATAAAAGTGGATACTATAATACATAACTACGACCCCAGCACTGGGGATGTAGAAATAAGAGGACCAGAACTTCAAAGTCCCTTTCAGCTAAATGGAGAGTCTGAAGTCTGCAGTCCTAGAACATCCTAACTAAACAAGAATGCCAACTGGAGACCTGTTTTGTCTCCAGGTCACCAGAAGAATTGAAGTCTTCTGTTATTTGGCAACCATATAATCTGTAAAACCACTTTTAAAAGATGTTTTTGGTTATAAATTAAATAACAATGATTTAAACCCATTGAAGCTGATTCTTGAAGAGATGTCCATGGACAACCTGTCAGGGCTGGTGCAGACGCTGTTAAGCCCTAACCTTTATATCAGGGCATCTCCTCAAGGATGGTCTCAGAAAGTGCAAGCATGGTCGCTTTTTACTGGGAGACGAGCTTTCCATAGGCTCTGCTCACATTGAGGTCGGTCTACAGGTTTGTAGACAAACCTGTAAGGAAGCACTGGACACTGCTGTGGCAGAGCGGTGAACCCCACACAATCTAGTGAATAGAGGAGGCATGGGTGTCTGCTGTGTGAGGATCCTTGGCAGCCACTGAGCCTGTACAGCCTGTCTTTACCCAGCCTTGGGCTGGTGCTTAGGTGGCCATTTTATTTTTTGGATTCGGGTCCCTCTAGAATTCAGCAGTAAAGTCTCTTCAAGTTCCCTTCTATACCAGTGGACTTTCTCATGTGGGAACTAACACCTGCAGGCTTCAGGTCCCCCATCCCAACACAGACTCAGGGTTTCCCAGCCTTTTCCCGTCCTCACAGTCTCACTAGTTTATTGCTCTATTTAGAAAATACAGATTTCCTCAAGAAGGACCTCCCTGTATGTTCGTTGCTTTCTTTGGGAAACAAGCCTTTACCCCCACCTTGAGTTTGGGCTTCTGGAACTCAGAATTAACAACGTTTGCTGTCACCCACCAAGCTTGTAATTTGTTACCAGGTCTAGGTAACAAACTTTGTAATTTACATATTTGGGTTCCTGCTGCTCATGCCTGTGCTCCATAGCACACCCTGGGAACCTACTAACCTTCACCCCTAAAAGTTTGTGATGAGAACACCTGAGAGGAACTGGCCATCCCAGGGCGGCCTCGGGAGCAGTCTGTCCAGCCTGGTCCTTACTCAAGGGTGTGCAGGTAAGCACCACAGAATGCCTGATGCAGTTGGCCAGCACTTCTAATGCTTGGCCCTCGGGATGCTGTTTTATGGGTGTCGCTTGTTCTTGCCCTGGGTTCCTGCATGCTCACAGCCTCTCATCCTCATGCTCCTTTCCAGTCTCTTCACTTCTTTGCCTCACCACGTTGGCCAATGTGTCTAGTTAATGTTGGGAGTGGTCACGTTGGTTTCCTTTTTTGTTGTTTAATTTCAGTAGGATTGCTTACAGGAGCAAGAGCTGCCTTATCAGTGATGTCTTTATTGAAGAAAGCATCTCTCCCTACCCAGGAGACCCTCCATCTTGACCTCATAGGAGGTTAAATGCTACAGCTGCCCCAGCTTGTGGTGGATACTAAGCCCTCCCCAGATAAGTGAAGAAGTAGGAAAGGGACACAGTGTATCCAACAGATTTGTGGGAACCATTTCCAACACCTGCAAAATAAAATAGATGAGCCCAGACTACATAGCAAAATGGAATGTTTGACCATTCAGAAGCTGCCATCAGAGATGGGCACAGTGGCACACACCTGTAGTCACAGCCACTGGAAGATGAAGCCCCATAAAACCGAACAATCCTTTTTTAAAATGATTGATTGGTTTTGTTTTGTATTTTAACGAATCTCAGGACTGGGGGCTTACATTAGGCTTGGGGAAGTAAGATCATTGGCCATCAATCTTAATCTGAGTTCAGTCCTCAAGTCTATCAGTTTAACACACTTAAAGGGAAGCTGATAGCTTTTAGTTGCATGTTAGACAAGAATTGTTAAAAAATAAGTTTCTCAGGAAACCAGAATAATAGTAAATTAAACCAAGATTAGTGACTACAGGTCAGCTCTTAGAAAATAAGTGGTGAGAATGTAAAGAGAATTGACCCAAGTCAGCAATGAGAACCATGATTGTAAAGTCTTTGCAGTAACAAGCTTGTGGGTTGTTGCTAAAAACAGCTCACCAAAACCATGGTAGGAAAATGGGAGCCATAGTTGAAGCTGATGAGAGTATAGTAGGCCTCTTGGGAGAGTACTTTCCCAGCACCATACCAGAAGGTAGAGGCAGGGGAAAGAGTTCAAGATCATCCACTGCATCATGAGCTTGATGCTAGCCTGAGCAATGTGAGCCCTTCCCTTGATATGAGGGAAGGGGGCAAGCTGAACTTGTCATTAAAAGCTTTTCATAATATATAGTCTTGGACTGCTACTCTGGTAAATCATGCTCAGAATCTCAAGAGGATCTTAGTAGTTGAATGAAGCATACTGGTGCACACATTTAATTCCACTCTGAGGAGGCAGAGCCAAGTGAGTTCGAGGCAATCCTGGTATACATGGAGTTCCAGGACAGCCAAGGCTACATACAAGCCCTGACTTGAAAAAAGAGAAAGTGGTTGATAGACTTGGCAATATTAAAAGACATAGATGCTGCTGGCAAAATGACTTCCACACAGTCATTTTTTAAACTCAAGCACTTCTTAGAAGCAGTGCAGGGGCATGTGTCAAGCTCTTTGCTGTTTGTATTAGGGCTCTCAGAGGCTGGGACTTAAAGTTTTGTTTTAATTCATCCAATCTTAAAATGTGGGCTTCTGTTTGAGTTTTTACAGCTGGAGAAAAGAAGCTCTTCCAGGGCACAACTCGAAACCTTTAGACTTAAGCCTGGTGGTGGCGGCGGCTCACACTTTAGTCCCAGCACTTGGGAGGCCTGCTCTACAGAGCTAGCTTCAGGACAGCCAGGGCCACACAGAAAAAAGTCCCAAAGAAAAAGAAACCTTTAGACTCCTTACGCACCTTTAAGGTCAGTTATATCACTGAGTTCATGTTCTTTGTCAGTGTACCCTGAGGTCCTAGGAGTTGGTTGATGTGATCAAGGAACTCATTGTTTTCCTCTGCCAGTTTATCCAGAGATTCTTGGTAACCAGCCAGCATCATTTTCCTTATTTTTGCATAAACACAAAAGTTGGGCTGGAGAGTTTGCTCAGAGGTTAAGAGCAGGATCTTCTCTTACAGAGATCCTGAGTTCCCAGCAAGCACATGGTGGCTCACAACCATCTATAGTGAGATCTGGTGCCCTCTTCTGGCTTGCAGTTGTACATGTAGGCAGAATATTATATAAATAGTGAGTACATCTTTTTTTTTTTTTTTTTTAAGTTTCTATATAAAGCCACTAAATTCCTTCCTCCTCACAGCAGGTAAACCAGGATGATTAATGCATTTATTTCAGTAACTTCATTAATAGCTTACACATGGACTCTAGTGCTCTCCATGGCTCTAGGAGGGTCTTCAGTAAGTACGTGTTGGGCAAACTGGAAAGCCTGTTCTAGATACCCTTTAAAAATCTACCCTCATACATCTGTAGGTTTAGAGCCACTCCTGTTTCTGGTGGGACCCTGTTGCAGCGGTTCTCAACCTTCCTAATGCTGAGACCCTCTAACACAGATCCTCAAGCTGTGGTGGCCCTCAGCCACAACATTCTTTTCATTGTAACTTTATTACTGTTGTGAATCATAGTGTAAATATCTGTCTTTCCAATGATGTTAGATGACTTCTGTGAAAGGGTAGTTCACTCCCCAAAGTGGTCATGACCCACAGGTTGAGAACCACTGTTCTAGAGAGAAACATACTGATAGAATTTAAAAAAGTGTGTCTGTTACATGTATGTCTGTAGCATGTACATATGGAATTTATTAAGGTGGCTTACAGGCTGTAGTCCAGGTGGCCCAACAATGGATGGCTCCCAGTGGGAAGATGGCTCCAGTGCATTTCAGCCTACGTTGGAAGCCTGAAGAAGTGGATTCTAACACTAACAAAGGAATGTCTTAGCCACAGGATAGATGAACTTGCCAGGCACAGTGAGGGAAAGCAAGTAAAAAGCAAAAGGGTTTTGGCCCAAATTTAGGGTGGGAATTCTACCTCAACACAGTAAAAAAAAACAGTTCACAAGCTGAGAGTTGGTGGCTCATGCCTCTATTCCCAGCACTCTATGGGCTTAGGTAGGAAGACATCTGAGTTCAAGGCCAGTGTGGTCTACAGAGTGAGTTCCAAGACAACCAGAGAAGCCCTGTCTTAAACCTCCCCCTCAAAAAAAAAAAAAACAAAAAAAAAAAACACTGCAACACCAGGTGGCGCCATGCTACAACATGAGTTCTTGGGGTTTCTTGTGGCTTGGTTTTGATGAGGGTTTGGTTGGTTGGTTGGTATTTTAGTTTTATACATGTAAATCCAGCATTATGATTACTCACCTTCCTACAATCCCTGTCCACTCTCCTCATTCAGTTCTTGTTTGAGACCCAACAGTGTAGTGTAGGTCCCCATGGGTATGAAGCTGCCCTTTGAGCCCGGTGGGCTCAAAGAGAATGCAACTAAAGGCAGTGATTCTCGTTCCTAGGATCTACATGGAGGCAATAGTTCTGGGTGCAGAGAAGGCCCTGTGAGCCCACCCACATCCTTTTTGTTGACAGGCTGGTCTTCTGTGGCCAGTGCAGACAACTACAGTTGTCCCGAGCTGTTCTATTAATTACCATGTTGGGTCCAGGGAACGGCACTTCTAGCCCTTCTGGCTCACACACACCCTTCTTCCACAGTGTGCTCCAAGCATTAGAGGGGGAGGTGTAAGTGACTTGTTCAGGGCTGAGCTCACAGCTGTCCCGCATTCTCTTCGTGCTGGGCAGCTGTGAATCTCCGCAGTCA